GCTCCCTTCCTGCAGGAGGAGCTCCTCTCCTGGTGGAGGTGAGTGAGGAGGGACAGGACTGCTCCCTTCCTGCCAGAGGAGCTCCTCCCCTGGTGGAGGTGAGTGAGGAGGGACAGGGCAGCTTCTTCTGCCATCAAGATGTCAAGGTGGGCACTGTTGGGTGTTCAGAGCAGGTCACCGTCCCCTGTGTCAGCGGGCTCAGAGAAATGGGCACAGAGATGCTTTCAGAGAAGATATGGGTTCCCGTCGGTGGGGAAGGCTCCGGAAGACGGAACCATGTCATGGGCTCAGAGATACTGGGATATGGATCCCAGCTCTCCGCCCGCTGACCTCATGTCTCAGGAAGCGGATTAAGCTCTCGGTGTCCACATTCCCTCTTGTAAAACGGGGGTGCAAAGGACAGGTTCCTAGTGTGACTGAAAGGTGAAGGATGATGTTGTTGGGGGGCAATGATGCTGATTACCAGGATGCTCCTGGCACCCAGGTCGATAGGCCCTGGAGGGAGAGTGGCAGGCAGGGAGATTTAAGGATCTCTAAAACTCCAGTCTGGATGCTTGCATTGCCGATGGCAGGCAGGCAGTTCTCCATCAGGGCGATTTTGCCCTCGAGGATGGGACTCTTGCCAGTATGGAGGCATTTTTGGTCTCATGACTTTGGGGGAGCTTTGCTGCTGGCATCTGGTGGGTGGAGGCTAGGGGTGCTGCTCAGCACCCTGCACAGCCCAGTCCCCCCGCAGAGATCCACCCAGCCCCGAACCTCAACAGTGCAGAGCTGCATAAACCCTGCTTGCTCGCTTAATCTTCTCTTTCTTCCTGTAATATATTCAGTGGTCTTTTACTTTCAGGGATCTGCATTAGAATAAGAATTAAAGTGAACAAAAAGAGAAAGACCTTTTAGGATTTTTTTTTCCCTATTAAATTGAAACCACACAGCAGAGGATTCTCCTACTAGAGGAAACGTCTGTGGAGGCTTAAAGTCTTGGCTTGTATTCATTCTTAATGCTTAGCAGCTTAACAGATCCATTTTCTATTGTGATTTCTGTAATTTGTTCCTTAAAAGACTCGTTCGTTCCTTTTCTCTGTCTCAGAAACAAATTTTTGGGGGGTTTTAAAGAATAATTTATTTTCTAAACTTATCATTAGTGCAGGAACTGGCTTTGAGTTCTGACATAGCTTTCTAAGCCGTAAGCACCTGCTAAGTAGAGTTTTATTTCTATTCCTCTAGAAAACAACTGTACATTTTGCAGGGAAATATTTTGAATCCTGTGTGTGTGTGTGTGTGTGTGTGTGTGTGTGTGTGTGTGTGATTTTAGTCTAGAGGGGACATTGACATTCTTTGGACCCAGCTAGAAGAGCTGAGAAAAAAAATTGACAGACCCAGTAGCTACTTAAAAGTATGCAGCTGAAAAGGCTCATGATTAATTCATGATAAACTAATACAGCATTCATTATTCTTTCTTAATGTTCTGATGCAAAGTGGGAGTCTTTCAGTGGGGACTAAAATATCTGTGCCTAAATATCTAATAACAATATCCATTATATCTCATCAGCATAAAGCCATCCTCATGGGATATTTGAATGTACCTCACAATTTAAAATTCAGGGTTCTTGAATACAGCATATTACACTTTTCCCCTCTCCTTAAGTGGATTGATGATAATCAAGAAAATACTTTTATCTCTGATATTTCTCTTTTTTTTCCCCTCCAAAAAAAAAAAAACTTAGTGCAATTAAAGTTTTCTTATGAAACAAACAAACAAAAATTTCCTTTTTATGAGACTTCATGTTATTTGGCAAGGCCTGCCCGTGGTCTCTTGATTTACTCTGCTTAAATATATACTAGCAGAGTAATTTTTTAATCCTTTGGTGACAATGAAAAGATGTTTCCAGGAGACTGTAAATCCTTAGTAAGGATATTTTGTGGCAGCAAATACCCATGCTAATAAGCACATTCGGGGGTCAAGATCATGCCAACCAGGAAAATTATGGTTAACTGTTTTGTGTGTGTCTGAGAAAGTGAATGAGAGGAGGCTCATGATCAGATACATGGTGAGAGAAAATAAAGCAGTCTGCAGATTGTACAGTTGACCGAGTGATGTCGTTGACAGTGGGGCACCTTGGTGTCACGTGCGTCCTGATGGGAGGTGACAAGAACATGAAATCATGAGTGTAATGTCCCTGCCGAAAGCCTTCCACTGGAATCTGTTGATGAGGAAGTGAATCGACGAATCCAGAATGTAGCACATAGTAAGAGAAGGTTGACCTGGATTCTTCCAAAATAGTCAGGTCATGGGATGGAAAAGAAAGTCAGGGACTATTCCAGATTTAGAAAAATGAAGGAACAGAACAGCGGTCCCCGAATGTGGAACAGGGGAAAAAGGAACCCGGAGGCAGAGTTATTTGGGGGCTGTGTGGACGGTGAGTTGACTGATATTGCATTGTTTGTCTGCACGGTTAGTATTAAGGAGTCGTGGTTTGGAGGGAATGTCCTTATTCTGGGAGACCCACGCCCAACTCTTTAGAGGGTCACGCTTTTGATCTCTGCAGGTATCCATGAAACATCATGATACACAAATACAAATACATTTCTCATCCTTTCTTCTGATACAGAAAAAAGGTATGTGTGGACATACAGGTGTGTATATGCATGTGTATACGTGTGGAGAGACAGAAAGCAAGCAACCATTGCAAAATGTAAGCAATCCGTAAACCTAAGTGAAGGACTATACTTGAGTTCGCTTTTCTTTTCAACTGTTTCGCGAGTTTGGAAGTTTGCAAAAATAAGTATTGGGCAAAATATGTACGGAGTGTTATTGTCCTTTGTTGGGTGATGTTTGCAGAATAACCGTAGGCCCCGTCATCTCGCTTTTCCATGTGGCTTGTTTACGTGGTATCGAGTGCTTAGTGGGTTCTTGTCAAGAGGTGCATTCACAACGTGTTGTTGGTAATCCCTGGGCCACCTTGCAAACTTACCCAACTCCTGCTTCCTTTTCCCTGAGAGGGTCCCCAGGAGAGCTTGATCACGGTGGAATACCGTCACGGGAGCTGACTCAAGATGCATACCAGGATGCGTGGTTTGCCGAAGCAGGCTGAGCTCAGGTGCCCTGGGTCTGTGGGTGTTTGCATCAGAGCAGGACTATCAAAGCCTGTCTTGCTTCTTTTGACAGGCACAGTCTGGCTTCAGAATTTAGAGCAATAATTTTATTGTCCATTAAAAAAAAAAAAAAAAACGCAGGTAAGGAATAAAGCATTCCATTTTAGGAAGGCATCTACAGTCACACTCGAGCCAAGCACTTAGTTTGCGACCGTGACATCCATTCTACTGAAAACATGTAGGATGCTTGGTCCCATAGGCCGTGCGTGGTGCACTGTTCCCGTTGGAAGCGTAAGGAAGGCTCCTCTGGGAGCCTCG